CTAGTCTGTCTGTTCTTTCCTTTAATACATGCTCTAAATATATATTGTTCTTCCCTATACTCCTTATTCATATTAAAATAAAATCTCATAAATCCAATGCTTTTTGCCAGTTACATAAAATATGCAGAAGCACTACATGAATATTTGAAGTAATAATTTTTGACTAGACTTGCTGTATTTTTATGATTGTCAGCAGTATTAAACACTTTCACTTTTTTAAACCTACTGTATGTTATAGTCTTGCTTAACAAGGGGGAATGGCATGATATAGAATACATTTAATAGCAGTACTTAAAATAAAGCAGTAAAAATATCCATCAGCTGATAGAAACCCAGTCAAATCAGTTTATATACAATAAATTAGCAAATTGCCTGACCAGTAGAACAAGAAAACTAGGAATTGCAGACACTTATATATGCAAAGATAATCCTTAACACAAGAAAAAAAAAATGGTTCTCAGATAAAAAAGACAAAATATGATTATTTTGCATTTAAAAAATTTTAGTAGCTGATGCAGTACAGGAATGGCTACTTCAAATGTAAGTGACGTGTGTATCTGTTTACTGTCATGTCTCTAAATAGTAATAACCTGATATCTCATCTACGCAGATGCTGACAAATAAAGAAAAAAACGGAGATTAACTAATGGTGATAGCAATAAGACCATTTAGAACTTAAACAGTGCTGTTGTCAGTAAGGCTCCAGATTCACAAATGGAAGAGAAATAAAAATGTATTCATAATCACTTATGAAAGAAAGAGACAAGTTGTGTTTGTACTAGCACTCAAAAAGCAAAAAGAAGAAAAAAGACAGTGCCAGTGGTTGAAAAGTAAAAAGAAAGAAAGAAAATGCATGTTTTCCAAGTGCATCTGTTTGTGTGTGTTTATTTGACTGTGATCCGTGTTAGAGTTAGTATCTGTTCATATAAAAAGTAAAAAGAAAAGACTGGTTTATAACAGAATCCAAAGCCTTCCAGGTGTAAGAAATACAGCTCTGAAATGGCACAAGATCTGAAGTGATGAGAATCCATTCATAGTTAACAAGTTTGGACACAGGTTTCCCCAAAATTAGGATTGTGAAAAAAAAGAAAAAAAAAAGCCACAAGAAAGGATGGAAATAATGGAAGTATGTCTATGTTAAATAACAAGATATGTGCTGTTATAACAAGAGTTTTCTAATGACTGTAAAAATAGATAGAAACCAAGAGGGAGATCATGGCAATAATAACTTTTAACACAGATATTTTCCAAAATATAACACATATTTCACTGTGGTACATTTATATTAATGTCAAATATATATAATGGTTAATACCGTTTTTTTTAATTAGTATTACCATTATCATTACTGCCTGAATATCATCTTCCACAAAACAGAATACCTATCAGGACAAACCACAGTTAAGAAGCCAAGACGCATATCAGTAATACTTACAGTTCTTTTAAATGAGTTATATATATGCAGGATGCAACTGATATTAAATTCATAAATTAAATATACATATACTATTTATATTGTCATGATCCAAAGCTTAATCACTACAAGCAAGTATCTTTTTTGTTGGTTTGTTCTCTAGTCTCTGATGTCTGGGGTGGAAAGTACCACCAATACTTTGATTTTCAAAGTTAGCCCAACTTAACTGGTCTGCTTACCAAAGATTGCTGTTTACTGCAAAAGCTAAGAGAATAGCTCTGGTGATGTTAGTCAAAAAGAAATTATAATAAAAAGTACCCCTAGATGATGCTATCTGTACTCATTTGCATTTCTGAGAGTACTGCTATCAATGAACTCTGTGCCTGAGCTTTTTCCCTTACCACTTTGGATAAGTCTTGCCTTTCAGTATATACATTGGTAAGTGATGGCCAATTTTCAAGTATCAAAGTACTGGCAGTACTTCCCACCCCTGCAAATGTCTGATAAAATCATAAATCTGGAAAGAGGGGACTGCACAGACACAACTTCACTGTGAAAATTCAAGTGTAGTGCTGATAAGAAAGTATTCTCAAGCATTTTATTTATTGTTATAAATGTCTGCACAAGTATGCAAATAAATGAGCACATAAACTCCATATTTCTGTGCAAGTATTGCTTGCAATATGTCTCATGTATAATGTCAGTTCAGTGTTAGTAGGTGACAATGAAATTGAATTTAGATGTTTTTATGTATGTTTGTGTTTAGCTGCAGTTAATTTACTATTGCAAAAACCATGTGTACAAAATACAGTTAACATGTACACTACTATATGGATCAATTTCATTTGCATCACTGCAAATGAAATCTCACCCTTAAAGCCTGTCCACTGGAGTGGGTATGACTTGTAAACGCAACAGAGGGTACCAGCAAAAGTGAGAAAACAACAGGAAAACTACTTGTTTACCGAGGCATTTGCCTGCCTTGTTACATCAGCTCTACTTGTACCCACCCTTGTGCCAATCATGCCTGCTTCTGTGGATCTGCCTTAGTCAAAATGCTTCTTTAAATTGAAAAATGTGTCACAGAAAAATATAATTGTTGCCTAACCAAGGATAGGAAAGCAAATCTTGTTGTACAGCAATCTCCACTCCTCGACTCAAATATAGAAGAAAAAAGGTTAAAGGGTAGGAATATGAAGTTATATGAAAAGCCATAACACAATTCCTTTCCAAAGCAAATAAAACCTCCAAAGTATTCAGACTGGCTTGTTGGACAGGTTTCTCATATTCTTAATACTCCTATCTAAATTCAAGTGGCTAATCACTGAGCAAGTGTTAACATATGAATGGTAAGAGGTTAACACAGTGCTGGTGGAAAATGTGCTGTTCACTTTAGCTTTATTTTTGTGAAATGTCTACTAATAGAAGGCTCCCCAAGTGCTTAGCCACCAAGGAGTCAATTAGTAGACCTCTTGACCTCATCTGATTTCACATTTCCTTGAGTTTTTTTTTTCTACTAATATCTTTAATATTGAAGCTGTTATTTTTATTATGAACATTATAATTATGATTACATAAACATTACTAATAGCAATATATGGCAAAGGAAAATATTTTTGAAATCAGGGAAAAGGGCAAACAGATGAGTAGTACAAACAACTGATTCCTTTGTCACTAAGTACTTGTGGAACCATCTATGTATAAAGACAATTAATAAACCAAACTCACAGTGGGTATGTATATGTCATCCCTGGCAACAGTGAGTTCAACACTGATATAGGGGGGAAGGAGTGGAAAAAATACTGGTGCAATGTCATCTTACACAAATACAAATAACAATATGCACTTCAATATCCTCTTAATATTTATCCTGTTTTTGTCCCTTCCTTCTATGCTACAAAGTGAAATTAAAAGAAAAAAAACTGCCTTGTCAAGGAATGTATTGCTCCCAATTTCATTTGGTATCATCACAAAGAAAAAAATAATAATAATAAAATAAAAATATTAGAAAATAGACAAAGCTCTGAGCCTCACATATCATGAGAAAAATTCTTTACCAAGAATTAATCCAACATGCCATACAAGGTCTTTATTACATGCAGTTATTTGTAAGAGACATGCTATTTAACACAAACTGTTTGCATTTGGATAGGCAGACATCTACACTCTTACACAAAAGTCCACTCTCCTTCATTGAATGGTTATTTTATTACACGTGAATAAGCAATATGACATGATAAAAAAGTAAATTACATAACAAGGTTATGTCTCTTCTGTATGTGAGTAACATGCAGGTCTGGACAGACGTGTATGTAATTGAGAAAGTATGTACAAGTGTATATGTATACATGTATGCACAGTATGCTCATATTTATAAATATATTTGTAGGCTTACAATTTTATGAAAAAAAAAAAGAAAAAAAAAAAATCCTGGAAAGGTTTACCAAGATGTTTTCACCTTCCACATTTTACTCAAAAAACATTGCTAATAGAATTCTTAGACACAAAGTAATTATAATATATATGTACAACTCAAACAATGCTCTCTTTGCAAAGACTTCCAGCAAAAGCAATTGAATAGTCTTTAAATTTCCCATGTAATATATGATGAGGTTTACTTAAACATCATCAAAAATCAAGACAGACCAATAACGAGGTTCCATAAGACTGCACAAGTTTTTTTTACGAAACAAGATTAAAATGATATTTTATCTTCAAAATGGAAGTAAAAAAGGCTTCCTAATCTTTTAAAGACTTAAGCACTTGCCTGTTTGGATCATAAGAATTAACAAAAGGAGATAGCTTGTATTCAGATACTTATTTACCACAGATATGTACTGTCCTTTTACATTGCCATAAAAAAAAACATGAATAATCACCCTTATAATCAAAAATCATAAAATAAAATAAAAATATAGAGGTTGCCACTTTTAAAAGTATAGGTAGGTACTTTACATGAAAATAACTACAAAAAAAACTTACAACATCTTTTAACATGAATAGGAACAAACAAATGACATTACCATTTCTATAGAGCTCCAAGTCAAAATCATCAGAACATGACAAAAGCTTTCAGCCCTTGCACCTTTTATCTTTGCATAAATTTGTAAACCAAGGAGAAAAAAAGGAAAATCTCATATAAACACCTGCCATCATGACCCTTAAAAACCTACTTGTTAATGAAGAACTTGCACATCAACTGATGAGACGGCAAATCCTCAAATCATGAAAACATGATGATATCAAACAACATAACTGGAATGACTACATAATATACGAAAATATGATTTCTATGTAAGCAAATAAAATTTAAGGTTGGACATGTCAAGCTTAGCTGTTTGGCTAATGCAATATGTTCTGCTTATCAATATAGGATTATATTGAAAAAAATAAAATAAATAAATAAAATATAATAATAACCATAATAACCATAATTACAATATGAAAGAAATCAATATTCCAGTCAGTAAGAACAACTCTAGCAGGTTGATGAGCTACAAAGAGAAAGCAAAACATGTAAGAGACAAGAAACAAGATAAAAAGAAAAACACAAGTGAGAGATTCAGGGCGAAAATGAGAAGGAAAA